TTATAATTCATTCCTATACTGATACATAAGTAGTAGCATTCTGATCTTAATCTGCCTGCAATTGAGTTTTTGATTGAATCTAGCTTCTTATTCCAGTTATATACGGCACATCCTCTCTACACTTAATTAGTTTAGTCAACTAAATCATTTGGCTTCAGTTGTTTAGCGAAGATAAATTAGGTGTTGGGATTGGAAATTTTTGCTATACAATACCAGGAACAGAATTACAATAGGAATAGCAAACCAAACTCTCATCGTTAACTATTACAAAAAATCAATCCTCACCTATTGACGTGCACTTTGTCACGGTGCGTCAAAATAAATTCAATACTAACACTTATACGTAGTATAGCGTAGTAGAGTTCGTATCCACAGGGAAAGGAATAATTCTCTTTTTATAAAACTAGTAAATAAAAAGGGGGGTTTTGGGATTGAATGATTTAACTTAATTAAACATAAAGATGAACAACTTAATTTAAAGATAAAAAGGACTTGGCATTGCTACTTTCCACTTGTTGATATATTTTAGTCGATCATTGTTATATCTATAACTAATCCCCTCTCGAATACTCAATCGAGGAGTATATCCAATTCATCGAGGGTAGTTATTAACAACGACCGTTCATTAATAACCCTTACTATTAGTCATGTATAGAACACCGCCATATACCGACTTAATAGTAGCATTTAATCTCTTAACTCCTTGATGAAATCAATTGAGATTGATAACCTCAACACAACGGTTTCGGTTTAACCAACAAAATTAATCCCTCTTAAGTTTATTAACCACGACCGTGCATTAATAAACCGAAGTTACTTACTTGTGAAACCATCAACGATTAACCATCGGTTCGTTGATCGTTTCTAGTAGTAATTAATGTCGAGATGTTAACTAATTGTCATCTTAGCAACACTCCCCAACATTAATATAGAGATAGATTAAGGGAAGAATTAATATTCAAGGAAGAAGATTAAATATGAATAATCCTACTATAACTAATGTCAAGATGTTATCTAATTGTCATCTTAGCAACACTCCCCAACATTAATATATAGAGGAAGAAAATAAATACTACTATAACTAATGTCGAGATGTTAACTAATTGTCATCTTAGCAACACTCCCCAACATTAATATATAGATAGATTAAGAGAATAATTAATATTCAAGGGAAGAAGTTAAGAAAATAACTCACAACTTTAATAATCAACAAGCTTCAAGAGCAACACCAAGAAATGGAAGTTTAGCTCCTCATTTGGAGACTAAACATGCTAAAAAAATATAAAAGAAATACTATTCTAAGTTGAGCTTAAGAGTATGGAAGAAGGAGTTATTATTTGTGAAGGAAAAGTGTGCTATTTATAGGTGTTTTTCAACACCTTGGGCCGGGTACCCGACCGGGTAAAGAGCCCACCCGACCGGGTGCATGTCAAAATCAAATATCCTCCACGTTCTGGCGATCTTCGGCATGTTAAAGTGTCCCGGGTCAAGTCAGACCCGACCGGGTGGAATAGGGGACCCGACCGGGTGAGTGCACTTTCCAGGCACTTTCGGTTGTTGAATCAGACCCGACCGGGGTGACGTCTTATGCCCGGTCGGGTATGTTCTCCTGGACACTCAAAATTCCTTTTTCTTCACTTCAAAGTCTTCCTTTCCAACACCATAAATCCTAACTCTACTTTACAACTTACAAATGAGAACTAAAATACGATTACAACTAAAATCACACAAATGTTTACAAACTAAATAAAACGATAAACAATACACATAAATCAAACATAAAAACATACACTTATGCACTACTAATTAGTGCATATCACCTATTGTAATTTGTGGAAGTGAGTGCAATCATGATGTACGATGATGATTTTTTCATAATAAAGTGTTGAATATATCGCGTCCCTTATTTTCAAAGTCGAATTTGGGCACACTGAGCTCACTATTGAGTCTGGAATGATAAAAAATGGTAGAAACCAGTCAGTTCTCATCCAAAACTGGTTTGGAAAGGGGTGAATTGGGCTCGCCAAGTAGGAACCCGTCTGGTCCGATCCAGGCACCAGCCCAGTGTGCAAACACGCAGGCAGGCATGTGTTGACAGCTAGTTCTGCGCTGGTGCTGATGTGGTGCCACACGACAACTGCCACATGACAACTGACATGGCTTCGGAGTGGATGACTTATTCGGATGACATGGCAACTGACGTGACATGTTGCTAACGTAGTTACTACTCACTAGCGCATGTGGCGGCATCTGGTGACTGTTTGGTTGCCGGAAAATATTAGAATTTTCCTTGGGTCGAGTTGAACCCACTCGTATCACTAAGGGAATCTTGGTCTTTGCGGAACCAGAACTTTATTTGAAGGGGTGCCGAGAAACATAAGAAACCTCAAATTAGTAAATTAAGATTATGTCACAAATATTTCTAAAAAATAAGTTATGGACAAAAAAGTGACTGTTTTTAAAAAATTCTAAAAATGAGACTAAAAAGATGTTAAGAGACTAAAATCTCATTGAGTTAGTAAAACGAGTTATGGACAAATATTATCATGCCCTTATTATATAATTTCATTGACTGCTACGATGATATTACAGTGCCCTTATCATACCCGCCGTCCCCTAGTTACCCAACCTGCCAGTTACAATTCACCGATCCGTCATTTACAATTACATGATCCAAACTAGTTATTGTTACACAACCCGATCAGTTAGAGTTACCCGACCTGTCAACTACCCGACCCGATTAGTTACACCCACCCGATCCTATCAATTACAGTTAGACGATCTAATAGTTACCACCACCTCTGCGGCTCCGCCCACCAACGGCGACCCGCCACTGCACTCCACAGCTCCTGCCTCCACCCAACCCCTGCCTTGCATCACCCCATAATCCACCGCAACCCTGCCCCTGCCCAACCACTCTACCCTTACCCAATCACTCCACCTAGCTCCACCCTTGCCTCACCCAACCCATGTCCCATCACCACCCCAAAAATCTGATGACTCAGTCTAACCACCGTAGAACAGCCCCAAAATCTCTAGCAAACACCATGTCTCTGCAGTCCTCACCAGACCACAGACCGCAAGGCGCTAACACGACAATCATGCTAGTTCCCAAATTTTTCCCAAGATTGTTGCCATCGAGCTGTCATCAACACTGAACCAAGAAGACTATATCAACCTTGAAGCGGGTATAGAATCAAGTGTTAGAGAAAATCAAACATATGTTTCTATTTTTGAAAAAATGCTACTTTGTATGTTTAGGAGCATTTTCCGTCAAGGGAAAACTGTCAAAACTTCCATAATATATAAAAAAAGTCAATTAGCCCCTCATAATTCAAAATCAATCAATTCAATCATCAATCATCATTTACCCCAGTGCCGCAAAGGCTCCCACCTATGGTGGGGTAAGGGGGGGTCGGATGTACGCAGTCTTACCCCTGTACTAAAGCGCAAAGAGACTGTTTCCGTATGACCCATAATGAAAATCGCGTCCAAAAATTGCATTGACTGACTGCTGCTTCATAACAAAGAAGCGCAGACAGTTTGGTGAGCCATTTTGCTTTATTCCATCATATTCTCAAGCCAAAAAATAATGAATCTTTGGCTCCATTGCAAATGATGGAAAATCAAAATCAATCAATTAAACACTCAAATTCTTACAAAACGCCTAAATGAAAAGATTAGACGATAAACAACAAGTTTTCCGGACAACCCCTACATGGACCACCATTGCGGCTTTTTCAGTTTTTCCCATGTTTTAATTTTAATTTTTTGGTTTATCTTTTTCACGTCAGCAACTTCATCGGCATTCTTTAATATATCATTTTACTCTATTACCCCCTAAAAGCGGCATTTCTTCAAGAAGTTAAAAGGAAAAAAAATAATTCCCTAAGATGCATGCAATTCAAAACAGAAAGATTAAATAGGAACGGACAGAGAAGTTCTCAAATACAACCTCCATCCCCAAATGAAGTTCTCGTTCACTATTCATTGGTCAACATGAATCACCCCTAATCTTTTACTTTATATATCAAATTTTTATCAAATTTAAATTTTCTTGATTAAGCTTTGTAGCGGTTTTAATGTAGTTTCTTAATATGTAAATTTTATTTTCTAAAAAAATTCTGAGTGTGAACAGGGATCGGGTTGATTTATCGTCAATCAAGCATCGTAAACCGAACAAGAATTTCTTTACGGGAGGGAGGGAGTAATAAAGATCAAAAGTCCGAAAGCACCACTTTTACAAAGGGAGAAGAAACCATTTGGCAAATCATTCATTTTATAACACTGACACCTCATCAGAAAAAAGGTATTCTATTAAAGAGTGCCTATCTAACGGTCTTGTTAGCAATATATTCCGTATTATTCTCTTGTAGAGAACCTTGCAATAAAACACAAGAAAAAAGACATCACACTTTCACGTAATGGCCATTCTGCGGCCAACTTGATTTTCCACTTCAATATTCCGCCACTAAACCGTCATGTTTCTTGGCCGGTTTCCAGCACTAAACTTGTAACACTCCTCATCCTTATATAAAAGACCTCAATCGTTTTACACTGTTTGACACTGTTAATAAAAGGAAAGAGAACTTTTATTTAGGGACAGCAAGAAAAGGGTTTATTTAGGGACAGATGAAGTATAATTTTAGGCTAGGTGTGCTTAGAAACCCGCCTAAATTTACATTAATGATCTTCATAAAGCCAAAAACTGTGACTAGATTCTAGCAACTTACGTAGGTGTATTGAATGGATCGTACATCTTAAATTCATATGTACTGTGGGACCAAACTAAACAAGTAGGACGGCCAAACAGTTCCAAAAGGTCAAAGCTAACACACTTAAAGTTGTCCTCATTTGGTCATTCCCACTAGCACAGATCCTTTGGGTGTGCCACATCACACACTAGATTTTCCTCCACCAAATGCATGCAAGACCCCACCCACCCCCACCCCAACCCATGTATATTATTGCACATCATGTAAAGCAAAGCACCTATACCCCTCACTAGTTCTTCTCCATCATCAACTTCTCAAAATGGATCATCAGATTCAGCAGGTACAGAGGCTCTAAGTGTACAGTGACTAACTATCTCTATACCCTTTGTTTAAGCATGAACTAATTCAGATTAATAATTCATGCTGCAGAAAGTGGTGATCAAGGTGCTCACCATGACTGATGACAAGACAAAGCAGAAAGCCATTGAAGCTGCTGCTGACATATATGGTAGGTACCCTCTGGATCATCTCTTCTTTTTCTTCAACTTCAGCTGAAGAGTGGAAATTCACAAATCTTGTAAGGATGGACAGGAATAGACTCGATTGCTGCGGATCTAAAAGAGCAGAAGCTGACGGTGATAGGAGGGATGGATGCGGTTGCAGTGGTGAAAAAGCTGAAAAAGGTGGCAAAAGTCGAAATTTTATCGGTTGGGCCAGCCAAGGAAGAGAAGAAAGAAGAAAAGAAAGAGGAAGAGAAAAAGGAAGAGAAGAAAGAGGAAGAGAAAAAGGAAGAGAAGAAAGAGGAAGAGAAAAAGGAAGAAAAGAAAGAGGAAGAGAAGAAAGAAGAGAAGAAGTGATATGTACTCATTGTTTATCTCTCTCTAGTCTATTCCTGCCCACCAACATCTATGCTTCATCAGCTCAATCAATGAAATTGTTTAGCCTGTAAAAAGGTGGTGACATTCTGAGCAGAGTATATATATATTGCCAACCTAAATAAGAAGACCATCAGTGTTTTTTCGGTTCCTCAAACATAGGACGGGAACAGACTGCAGTTCCGGGTCTTTTATTTATTTTAATTGCTAAAAACGGTGCCAATCTGGAACCGGTACTGGTGTACCCAGTTAAGGTTACGGTTTCCCTAACCATTAACATTGCCCGGAATGGGCACAAATCCACCCTTACTTTAGATGAACCAGAAAAATCAAAAGAAAGAGTGTTGGTCACTAGTTCTGTATCCACATAGCACCCATATCAAACGTCTAATTATAAGTGACCAAACCAGAAGGTGATCGGTAGTGCACACGGGAAATGAATTGCACTTGCTGCTCATTCATGGCAGCATTTATCATATATCACTTACAGTATTACTAATGCAAAAAATGTCTGGTGAGTATAATCTTGATATGAACAAAAGTGCAGACTTTGAATTCTAAATGAGAAGAGATACTTTCAAAATAAATACAAATAATAGGACAAATTTGTAGTACTGCAATGAATTCTCAAATTACAAAAATCTCAACTTTTTACCCACCAAAGCATTGTGCAATTTTCCAAAAGATAGAGAGTAATGAATTTGGTCGAAAAAAGAACACGGAGAGTTATTATGTGCTCTTTGAATTTTTTTAAAAAATTGCAATAGTACCCCCAAGAGTATACGCACAAGGAATCTCTATAATATCAGGTATTAATTCAAAATATAACTCCACAGTTTACATATATGCTCTGAATATGCTAGAGTATCAAAGTATTATGGAATATATTCTAAACAGATAGCCAACTTGGGATAAACTTTCTTGAACAGTATAATTATCATAAAAGATATTAACATGAAGACACAAGAGTATCTGGATTTGGCATTACACATTAAGGGATCACCACAAAGATAATGAGGACTACTAACAGATACCAATCAACAAGAAAACTGTGCTGTCAAGAGCCATAAAGGGACCTTCCTGAGTCCTACATGTTACTGTTTCTGTGAATTCACATTTTGCAGTTTATTTGCAAATTCTTCAATATTCCCATGGATGAAACTTGATCATTGTGATTGATATTTTATGAGCGTGGATGGGATAAAGCAGGACCCGTACCTTCGACAGCCTCCGAGGAAGAGTCTCGTCTTTGAGAAAGTCATACGCATGGAATAACTGAATACTGCAGTATCATCGAGTTCTAATACTGACAATTGTATTCTCAGTGAGTAAGTAAATAGAGTTCTAACCTAATACAGTGTTGCTATTAGAAATATGAACTAAATATAGAATACCAATATACCAACACTAATAGAATAAATTATTAATAATGAAAAAATAGCACACTAAGACTAATATATGAAGACTCACATGCTCATTTGGTTTCACATGCCTGCATCATGATATTATCCCACAAAAGAAGATTTTATGTATTTCACATTGATTTTATAACCTCTTGTATTCCCAGAGTGTGTGAATGTGTTGTGTGAACAATTTAAGGATCCCACAGGTATGTGTGTGTGTGTGTGTCAATATATGTAATCCTTTGTATTTCAATGTGAATTGAATAAAAAACTTATCCTTTTATAAACATGGCAGATCAATATACAAAGAGTACACATAACACTAGTTACACACTTACACAAGTAAAATATAATCAAAAGAGATGCTCACAGCTCACTTATATACACATGTGTAAGACCAACTGAAAAACACGATTCTTTCTTCACCTTAAATAAATCCTTTCCTGACATGCACCTCCTTTAGCATCTCCTATATCCTTTAAGTTTGGGTAAAAGCGGGATGTAGCTTCCCTTTTCCATCATATAACTCACCACCCGATCAGCTTCTGAGTGCTTTCCAGCCTTCTGCAAGCAATTGACTAGTGTGCTATACACAACAAAATTTGGATTACGGCCCTTCAATTCCATTTCTTTCAACATCAAACAAGCATCCTCAAACTTCCTCTCCATGCAATACCCACGGATCATAGAGTTGTAGGTGAATGCATTCGGAAGCTCACCCCTGTTGGTCATCTGAGAGAATAACCCCTTGGCATTATTGAATTCACCAGACATGACATATCCAGTTATCATAACAGTGTAGCACACAACGTCAGGCTCTATCCCTTGTGTTACCATTCTATCAAAAAAATATTTGCAGGCATCCAAGTTGCCTGCTCGACTCAACCCATCGATTAAAGTCGTGAAGTGAAGAATGGTAGGATCACAGCCAACTTCACTCATGTGTTTCAAAAGGTTAAGAGCTGCTAGAGGCTTGTCCCACTTGCCAAGGGCGTGAAGAAGGATGTTGAATGTATGAAGATCAGGTGAAAAGCCATTCGTTCCCATCTCATCAAGTAACCTATGAAACTGATCATGTTTTCCCAGCCTGTACTTTGCACATAGAATGATATTATATGTTAGCACATCGGGAGAGTGGCCTTTGTCCAGCATCTGCTCATACACCCACTCAATCATCTTGTACTGTTTCACAGTCAAAAGAGACTGTAAAATTGCATTAAATGAATGCTTGAAGGGTCTATAATTGAAATTGATAGACTTAAGGAACATTTCGACTACTTTTCTGGCTAATCCTGCCTCGCCACAAGCACATATCACAATATTGAAAGTACGAGCAGTAATTGAGTGGCCTTTCTCACACATCTCATCAACTAATCTCCACATAGCCTTGAACTCCCCGGACTCTGCAAAAATCTTCATGATTAAATGGTATGAATTTGTTGTGTGGGAGTAATTCTCATTCTGACTTGACCACATAAAGAACTTGTACCCCATCTTTGCACACCTATTCTTATCCGCGTAATTTAAGATTTTCAGTAGCCCTACTAGAACCTCCCTCACTAGAAGCCCAGAAAGCCTAACTTGCAAATCATCTAAAGCTGCTTTTGTATCAAACCCTGGTCCGTCTTGATAAAGAATTTCCAGAACTCGCTGAGCCTGGACTTTTGTATCATTGATAAAATTGCTTCTGGTGGAAAATTTCGGCTGGGTCTCTTCAGGAAAGCTACCACCTCCCATAGAACAGAATGACTGGTTGGAGTTTTCTGAATTATCTTCAAAATTATCATCAAAAATTGGATTTTTCCAGCTTTCTTTCAAATTATCCTCTATACTTCCTACCCCGTTTAAGATGTCGTCACTTCCGAAACGCTGCGTACACAAAAAACGCGAAAAACTGCCAAAATAAGGAAAGATCTTGATGCCCTTTTGAGCAAGAAGACCAACAGAGCACATGGCAGTATATTATGGAAAATGGGGCACGCCCATCAGCGTTCTAGTTCAGTTATGTTCAATTCACTTCAGTTATTGGCATAGAAACTTGAACACATATGAATTGGGGAAATCTTATAGCTTTCTTGATGTCTGGATTCAATTGCATCAAAGCGAAAACAGATCTAATTTTGCTTAGGGTTGCGAGAAATACCTAATGAAATTAAATTTGATCAAGGCCAAACGACCAGTGCTGAACTCACCACAGAAGCTGAGGACTGAGGACTGAGGAGCATGCTCTTTCTGGTTCCAATTTCATAAAAGAAACAATCAAAGGACTGTGTTTTAAAAACAGAAGGATTTTGCCCTCCAAAAGAGGTGAATTGGACTTTGCATGTTAGAGTGATATTTGATTTTTGCACCTTCTCTTTTAAGTCATTGATGTAGCACTCGTCAGCCCAAGAATTGTTAAGGAACATAGTGTAAGGTCAAATCATTTTATAATGAATTAAGGTGTAGACATTAATAATTCTACCAAAATCAAATATCATCCGAAAATAGGATATAAAGTCAAATTCTCTTTCAAAAAAGAAAGATTAGGTAATGACAATAATTTTAAATAATATCAATTATCACTCATGAAATAAAGAATCATGGTTACTATGAAAAAAATCAAAATATAACTTAAGTTATTGTATTATAGTCTCATATTCATTTAAGTGTAAAAATTAAACTTAAGTTACGGTCATTAAGTTACTATTATAGTCAATTACATTTAATTGAGCACAATTTTATAAACAACATTTGTGTATGTCATACACTATGTATAGGTAATTAATTATTGAAAAATATATTTAATAATATCAACTACTTGTTTATATGGTAAAAGTGATACTACCTCCGTCCCGTTGGAAGGTTCTCATAGCAAAGCGACACAGTTGTTTAGGCAATAATTAAATAAAGTAATTCGAGTATATTTTAAGAAATAATTTTAATAGATATATATATTATAATGTAGTTAGTATTGATAACTGTGATGTTATAAATGTACTATTTTTAATATATAATGATTAATTTGTCACTTGAGATTGTTAATTGTTTCCTAAAACGGAAATGAGAACTTTTATATGAGACGTCCAAAAAAATGAAAGTGAGAACCTTCTAATAGGACGGAGAGAATACATAGTTACTTTAAATTCACGCACTTAACTCATCAAAAATTATCATAACAAATCAAATAAGTGATTCCATTTCAAGATAACCTTTAATTGATCATTTGATCAATTTTTGATGATTGAAATCATTAGATCTTCAATAGAAAAGGGATTCATATAATTTTTATTATATATTCAAACATTTGATATTATTACCCGTTATTTTCAAAACTTGTATTTTTATCGGTATAGTTGGCATTACTTAGAGCCACTAATCTAAAAATTGCTACAATGTAAAATTTGAACTTATTCAATTCACTGAGAGTTATTGAGTCTCATTTCTGTCAATTAACCTTATTTTGATCATATAGGTATCAAGGTACGCTTAATTTAAAAATTGACCAATCCTACGATTTTAAGCAGTTTTACCATTGTTAATTGTTATAGCAGGTTATTTTTTGAAAAGCTTAAGAAACTTTTTAAAACTCGGAAAATAGAAAAATGCAAAAATTTAAGAATGTCAACTTTTGTATTTTTTGTACTACTAGAATTTAATCGCGAGTTGCACTAGTGTAATATGCCCAATTTTGAATAGTGTTAGATTATGTTGATGGTATTGGTCCACCTCTTATTTTGGCCTTACTTCACCCATGTTGCCTCT